ATAGGGGGGAAGGGCTCTTGGCAGATTAAGCCGAACAATTGAAATCGGAAATCTACGTCACCACGGATTCGTTCGAAACTGAGTCCTTTCCTTAAGGCATGCCTGAATCTAACTGGGGTTCGCGGTGGTGGAGGGATTGGGCAAGCAAGTTGTTTGTTTATTTTATTTTACCCGTTACCTTTCTTGACTTCCCTGTCAAAAAGAAATGCTCTACTAAAAGACAAAAAAGTCGGTCAAGGGGACTGGGATTGGTTCACAACCAAACAAGGAGACAGAAATGATAACCCGATATCCATACCATATTAGGCCGGCGAGTAAGAACCACACCGGGTATCAGCAGCGTAAAGAAGCTTCTGACCGGTTCCATATAGACAGACCTTTTGTGTACTATACCGCCTTCGATCAAACACTTAATCTCAGACTAACACCTTCCTGAACTAGGAAAAGCAGCCCCAAGGTACGAGTCGAAAGTGCGTTAACATGCTAAGAACTTCGAATTCGATTGCCTGCTGAAATGGACGAGTCCTCCAGACGCTAGTATTGAAGAGTTTGATACCCGTCTGCGTCAAGTCTTCTGTCGAAGGCTCGATGTAATTGGCTAGGACCAAAGGCAAATGCCCTATGAGCCAATTATTCTTAGCGTCTATTCGAGTATGGCCATATCTCTGTTCAATCTCGTATAGCTCGGTTAAAAATCCGAAATCATAGTCACAGCGTATCGGATACCATCTGCCAATCCATCTCCACTGGGAGGAAATAGAAGACCTGTGCCTCTATCCTGACGAGGTTATCGTCACCGATGGTAGTAGTACGGTTGGAAAGAGAGTAGGTCGGCAAAGTCGAGACTGCGGAGGTCGAAAACCAAGCGATCCCCGTTCACTACACATATGTTTGATAAAATAATTAAATGTACAACAAAAAATGAAAGAAGAAAAAAAGTTTATATGTTTTGTTGAAGTTGGATAAAATAAATAAGGAAAACTATATTACAATGTATGCTAAAGAACTAAGTAATCAAAAATAATATTTTAAATTTTGAAAAATAATTCATATACATCAACAATTTTATTTAGAATCCACAAGAGAATAATATGGACAAAATTAAATTAGAAAGAGCATTTATGGTAATCCAAACTTAAGCTTTATGGTATAAAAGAATAAGTAATTTTTATCCGAGTCATATTACAAAGCGTAATATTTTGCCTCATGAAATTACGAATTGTGTGAAACTACCAATTAGACTCATCACGTTTTGAAATTATATATAAGGGGGATGCAATAGGTGTAGTGTCTTTATTAAATACCACTCTTATAATTTATTTAGTTATCTTATATGTCGCTTTGAAATTATATATTAGGGGAATGCAATAGGTGTTGTGTCTTTATTAAATACCACAAGCACTATTTTTAATATATGTCGTTTTGAGAAGTTGCACACTAATTAAGAATATTTTTTTTGTCAATAGTAACCTTATTTAATGAAGATAGAGATAAATGTTTTGAGAACAAAATGAATAGTGAATATGAAAAGACGTAATGTATTTATTGGCTAAATGAGGGTAATAATGGAAAAATATGTACAAAAGATCCAAAACGACATTTATTTGGCAAATAGTTGAAAAAGATAGAATGACATTTAAAAAAAATAGGAGGAAGTAATGTTTATGGTGAAATTAAATGATAAATCAATTAAATAAAAATTGAACAGACTTTTTTAAAAGCTACCTAAAAAAATTATGAATAGTTCTAACTTTTATTTTTTAAAACATTATCTACCAGAAAACTTATTTAAGCTTAAAAAATCTATAAACTAACTAATAAGCTATAAATTTATCATACCAAACAATGGAAGGATGAAACATTTTAGGAGGTGATTGATAAAAAGTCATAGCCAGTTAAAATCAATCAAAATTGGACCCTGAGTTAAGAAATGTTATTTTGAATATATTTTATTGGGTGGGATGAGATTATTAAATAATATTTAAAATGTAATGACTAAAACTGAGGAGAAATAAAAGTAGGAGAGAGAAATGATGAAGGTAAAGACAATTAAAAATATGTGAACATATTAATAGAGGAAAAAAATTTGTGTCTAAACGTCGATTTAAAATTAACTTATTCACCAGAGCTTATTCATGTCGATTTAAAATTAACTTATCGATTAAATTATCAATTATTATCTGAATGTAACTAATTCACTCTTAGGTAGCCATGTCTTTTTATAAATATACATATTTTTACATAGTACATTCTATTTTAATATATGTTTTTATTAAAAAAATACAGATACGAAGAAAAAAAAAATATAATAAATTGTTTATTAAGGAAATGTAGGATGGCTCCTTTTAACCGGAATCGAGAACCAAAAATGTACTAGATTTAATGAAGGATGGTGAGTTCCGCAGT